TTTCCATGCTTAATTTGTTTTTCCACCTCCTGGGTCCAAGTGATTCTCCCATCTCAGCCTCCTGAGTAGCTGGAATTATAGGCGTGTGCGCCACCATGCCCAGCTAATATTTTTAATAGAGATGGGGTTTCACCATGTTGGCCAGGCTGGTCTTGAACTCCCAACTTAAAGTGATCCGCCTGCCTTGGCTTCCCAAAGTGCTGGGATTACAGGCGTCAGCCACTGCACCTAGCCTAATTTAAAAAGTTTAAAATAGATAATTTTTATTGGCTGTGTGTTCCATGATTACCAGACTGTGTTTTTCTTTCTTTTGTAGAGGTCCTTTGTTCTCCAATGTTGCTGTCAACATTCAGTCATTTCTCCTTAATTCACATGGCAGCAAATATGTATGTTTTGTGGAGCTTCTCTTCCAGCATAGTGAACCTTCTGGGTCAAGAGCAGTTTATGGCAGTGTACCTATCTGCAGGTAATACACGTTGATCTCGGGGCCTTTGAGAGTATAAGCACTCTAAGCTTTGTTCAGAAGGGACAAAGGGAATGGTTGCTGCCATATTCTACGCATAGTAATTGGTCAGAACGTATTTGTTTCTCAGGGGTGCCACAGACTGCTGGAGACATTGCCTTTCCTGCTTCTCATTTTGCTGATTTCCTCCTACATATGAATTATGTGGGTATGCTTAATTTTAAGTTGGGATAAACAAGAGTTAAGTAAGGGTTCGTGTAGAATTTAAGCATGTCATTTTATTTTTTATTTTTTTTTTTAATCTCACTGGGCCTTGGTTTCTTTAGCTCAGGCCCACCATTTTATATAGTGGTTCCCAGACTTCCTGGCTGCCTCAATCTCCTGGGTCTTTGTTAAATAACCTTAAGCAAGCTCATTTTCCCCAGTGTGTTCAGTTCACAGAAAGCTTTAAATGAGAGCTATACAATATGCTTGTCAAGAAAGAGTTTGTCCTGTTTTCTTTGCAAGCATGTTTGCTGGCACGGAACCACTTCCTAGTCGTGGCCTTGCAGATAGCATCGTTTTCTTATTTCAGTTAGGAAGTTCTCATGCATGATTCCAGGTCCCTAGAGGCCGCTACGGTGACAGTTGATCAAATTTTTCTCACCTCTCTGTAAAATGTACTTCCTTAAAACAAATATCAAAATTAATTTCTAAAACCTCCGCATTTAGAAACGGTGTATCTTGCATTTGTGCTGTGCTGTAGTGAAAAGACCGAGCTTGGAGATGGACCTAGGTTCAGATCCTGTTTCTACCACCAGCTGTGTGATGTTGCAGAAACGACTAAACCTCTGTGGGGATGATGACACTTACCTTCTCATGACAAGGGGTTAAAGAAAGCACTAAATAAAAGCATCCACTACAAGGCCCAGAGTAGACGCTTAGTTGGTGTTAATCGAATACTTAGGTGTCCCTAGTCCTTCAAAAAAAGAAGCTGAGCAATGCCTTTGGCTTGCAAGATAAGTAAGTGTATAGTTATTTCCCAGGGGCGAGTTACATTGTTGTAGTTACAGAGGGTCTGTGTCGGATACGTTAATTCCTGCTCCATAGGAAGTTTTTAAAAGTGAGCCATGTTGACTCAAATGACACTGAAGCCAAAGAGACGTAAGGGATGATCCAGTCTAGTGTCACACCCAGCTATTCTGAGTTAGTGTGTCTGGAGTACAGCCCAGAGAATGTACTCTTAGGAACGCGTCTTCATGCTCTAGCTGAGGGAAGTGATAACTGAGGAGTAAAGGAATGACTCTGGTGCTCAGCAGGTCATGCACCGGGTCAGACTTTTCATCCCTGTGAAGTCGCTGAAATGTTAGACAGGGTAAGTTCATGCCTGTACCTCACAGTGATCCAGGTCGAAACTTGACGCTGTTCATCTGTGTGGAAATTAGAAATGAAAACCATTTTCATGGCTGGACATGGTGGCTCACGCCTCTAATGCCAGCTACTCTGGAGGCTGGGGCCTGAGAATGACTTGAACACGGTAGCTGAGGTGGCAGTGAGCCCAAACTGCACCACTGCGCTCGAGCAGCCAGGGTGACAGAGTGAAACTGTTTCCAGAAAAAATGCAAACCGTTTTTATACCTCACTTAAATTATTGAAATGTGACTTGTTTCTCAGGTGTTATTTCCAATTTTGTCAGTTACGTGTGTAAAGTGGCCACAGGAAGATATGGACCATCACTTGGTGCAGTGAGTATTTCCATTTAAAATATTTTTTAAATTTGAGTTTTACATTTACTTTGAAGTAATTTTAGACTTAGAAGAATGTTGCAGAATTGATAAGGGGTTCTAATATACTCATCACCCTACTGTTAACTAACATTGAAACCAAGAAATTAACATTGAAACAATACAGTTGACTAATTTTCATTTAATTTAGAATGTATACATTTGTAAAGCTTGGTAGATTTCAGGCTGTAGCTTTTAACCATTGGTCATATATTTGTGCTTACCGGAATAGAGTACATCTCAGAACAGTGAGTATGCAATCCTCATAAACCAGAGAGCCCAATCCAGTATTGGAAAATTCTAATTACAGATTTGAATGTGGTACTTTATCCTCCTGTTTAGTCAATATTGGAGTGCCTACTAGGTACTATCCTAGAGCCTGGGGCTGCAGCCAGTGAGCAGTCATGGTTATTTGTGGTGGCTTTAGAAAGCAGGGCACAACAACAAAAAAGTTCCTGCCCCTCAGAGCTCTTATATTCTGGATGTTTAAAAAAATGTTCCGAGGCAGTCGGGCGCAGTGGCTCACGCCTGTAATCCCAGCACATTGGGAGGCCGAGGTGGGAGAATGAGCCCAAGAGTTCAATACCAGTCACATAGCAAGATCCCATCTCTACAAAAAAGTTAGAAAATTAACTGGGTGTGGTGGCTCATGCCTGTAGTCTTAGCTACTTGGGAGGCAGAGGTGGGGGTATAGCTTGAGCCTAGGAGGTTGAGGCTGTGGTAAGCTGGGATTGCACCACTGCACTCGAGTCTGGGTGACATAGCAAGACCCTATCTCAAAAAAAAAAAAAAAATTTTTTTTTTTTGAGTCGGAGTTTTGCTCTTGTTACCCAGGCTGGAGTGCAGTGGCGCGATCTCGGCTCACCGCAACCTCC